GTGGATTTCCCCCCCCCCCCCCACCTCTTTCTTCCGAGCATCAAAAAGGACACTGACTGCCATTGGCGGATCCAGCAAATTGGCAACATTGTTTTTTCTCCATTTAAACCCATGGAAATGTATCGATTCTTGGAGGGGTCAGGTGCTCTGACGAATCTCTGAAGAATCGATTATTTAACATAGGTTTAAATGAGGGCAATCCGGTGTTGCCAAACTGCTGGATCCGCTTCTGCTGACTGCTCCAGCAAATGGCGTTTATAACATAATTAACTGTCCAAATTAGACATGCTGATAAATTGCTTTTTTACTTGCCGATTCATTTCACTGTTCTACTAGGCAAGATGTGATTGTTCATCTGCTCATTATGGTTTGATGTAAAGGTATATGAGCTGGTGCTGTTGGTTGTTTTTCAGAATCATTCTTCCTTCTGATGTTAACAGGCACATCATGAGGACTTCCAACCAGCGTCTGATTTTATCTCCCATTGATGTCATGGCGGCACAAATGCCTGTTCGACCGCACAGCTACAGCAATTCCAACTCGGATCCTTTCTCAGCACTGTATCCTAAATTCAAGAGTGCTGGCAGTCAGTCGCCAACACATGAAGAGCGTCCGCAAACTAGAGAAATTCCATTGGACAGCAAAGTAGTTTACATTCAGAATTTTTCGGCATGTCACCCCTTTTTCTTCTCTTTTCCTCATCTTTAGCCTAGCTTTAGTAGTAGCATGATGTCCTATAATCCAGCTAATCTATATAATAATCTTTCGATAAAATTTTTTTACAGCCTGAAAAGTTTGTTTCAGAGAAGTTGTTCTGACTGAATTGGCAAGTTGTTTATCTAACTTCAAGACATTATGATACTTCTCTCCAAGTATTATAAAGAAAACCTCTCTTCTACGAAATTCTGTTGGTTTTCTGTCAAGTGTTGTAAGTGTAGACTAACCAATAGTTTCCTGATAAGATGTCAAGAATCACTTTTCACCAGAAAAATGCAAATACTTGCCCTCTCCACAGCGCTGCCCTTGGAGTTGAAATTCCGGCATGTCATTTTCAAATGCAGTTCATTTCAAAGTTTTTCACCTTTGCCATGTGTATACCTCTCCTGTATCGCAGCTCATCCTTTAAATTTTCTTCGTTTTACTCTTACTTCCCTGTCTTTCAAATCTATTTTCTTTTTTCCCAATTTTTTCCTCTCTTTTCGTTATCATCATAAGCAACCTTTGTTTTTAATTAATGTGTACACCCACTTGTGGCTTGCCCTGTTTTAACTCCTAAGTTTCATTCGAAGCAAAGAACTTTTCTTAGAGGACCGGCATGAAAAATTGAGGGGTTTGGTGTCGACTGAAGTTAGTCATAATTTGACATGATGTTCTTCACAACCTCCTGACTTTAACAAGTTTTAAAGATCAAATGTTCTATGTGCCAGTCTTAAGAAAAACGGGGCTGAATGGTAAATTGTTGGACTTTTTTTAGGCAGTTCTAGTTGAAATGTAGCCATGTCCAATTAGAGATTGAGTAGAGATTCTGTTCAAGAAAGATAAGAGAGATGAAAAGAATATAATTCCTCCGAATAATTACAAAATGTGGGGCAGCATCCACACACAGCAACAATTGCATATCTCCATCAGAAATCGAGTGTAAGAAAGCCAAAAAATGCACTTTTCAGCCCTACTTTTCTCTATATTGTTTGGCTTATAAAAAGTTTGACTTTAAAAGCTCTCTGTTCCTAGGAGGTTGTAAGAAACATAATATTCAATAATATGGAAGTTTGCCTGCACCAAATCCTTTGGTTCCCGTGCACGGCCTTTTTAATCCATACTCAAGCTCAACTTTACAAAAATTAGAATGATCCCACTAAGTATATAAATTTTTAAATTTTAACTTTGAACCAAAACTGTGACAGTGAAAATTATAATACGATTTTATATTGACATCCCATTAGGGGTTGCAATTTATATTCACAATATCTGAAACTCCTTGTATTCAAAATAATTTGAAGTGAGGAAAGAATAGCAGTGGCCGTCATTTCTCATCCATTGATAAATATTTTTTTGCTCTAGACAATTCCCAGTTAATCTCAATGGATTTCATACAGTCTCCAAGTTTGTGTCACTTCTGATTAATCTTACTCCACAAATATCATATTTTATGATGCCACTGTTTGCCTTTGTATCACTCGCCCTCAAATCATTTGTATCACTAAACCAGCATGAATCATCAGATAAAATAAGTCTTGATCTCACCATGAAATTGATATGGCCATGAGGTAAAAAGAAGCTGTAATTGGAGCTCAAGTTGACTTTACCACTTGTCCGTATTAATTTGATAACCCAATTAGATAGTAAGACAAGGGCTATTCAATGGTAAGCGCAATAGCCGATGGAGTGACCATACATTCTCTTTTTTAAACCCATTAGATTTTTCAAATTTTATGTATATTTTTTTCCCTCTTTCCTCTACAGTCAAGAACAGGAGACCCAAGAGATAGAGTGAGAAAGGATCAAGATGGTATTGTTCTGAGTCCTCAGCGCCGCAGCTTCAACACCGGGTGCTTTGTAACTGTCCAGTCTGGTCGTCAGAGCCCTTCAGCGAAACCTCTTGATAGGTAAGATCACAATCTAGCATGTCTCTCTACTTTTCTTTTCTTTCCTTTTTATAGTCAAATGGAAATTCCAAGCCAAGGCTCCCGAGGAAGTTCATTCACTTTTTACAAAACATTGTGGGTGATACACTATGGTTTTTTGCTGGACGGTACGGTCGTGAAAAATGATGAAAAGTGTTGTGAAGTTCCATTTTCTTGATGAATCGAAGGTGACTGATAGGAGTTACCCAAGTGTGTCTCCGTGGTGAAATACTTGCTGTTTTATGAATCTTAATTCCCAAGATCTAATTTCAATTGTGAACGCACTATCTTTTTTGGTGTATTATGTCAACAGTAACAATTTTTTATCTCGCAAGTGCTCTCTCATTAATGTTGAAAACAACTGTCCGAAAAATTGTCAAAACAATTTTCAGTTAAAGACTTTACATAAGCACATAGAAGTAAATATTTCAGGAGAGTGATTTCTGTCAAATTGGATTGATAAATCAGAATTAGCATTTTCAACCAAAAAAAAATTGTCCAGTATCCTAAAAAAATAAATTGCAAGATTTTTAGTTCACGTCTTGGAGTTCATGTCCTGATGAAAGGTGGTCCTTTTTGTGTTTCTCAATTCAGCCATTCCTATCTTATAAGCATGGCTCCTTAAAATTTAAGTGCAGGGTTACCTCAGTCACCCTCCATGAATCGCGTACCATCCTGCAAAGGAGAAGCAACCTCCCTCAACTTTAAACGACCAAGTAACTCAGGAGAAAATAAAAGCCCATTCACTAACCTCAAACTGAAAACGAAATCAAAATATTTATAAAAAGATATGACAGAATAAACAGGGATATGGCTAGAAATTTCATTATAAGATTTTAAACAGACATGAGTGATCCCAATTCAAAAGATAAAAATCAAAGCAAATGATATTAAGGCGACTCCAACTTACTTTTGTCTAATTTCCATGAGCATTTAACTTTATTAAACGATTTGTTTGGATATCAACATGTACATACTAGATAAGATCAAGATGAGATAAGATATTCCTTGTTTTCTTTGTTTCTCTATTTCGTTGCTTACCTCTTCTCAGTCTCATGTACCAAAATCTTTTTTTTTTCAGCCGTGATGGACCAAGAGAAGTACGCCGTATTGGGAGTGGACGCATTCTAACTAGAGGAGAGCCAATGGGAGTTGCCCAAAACTGGTCATCTCAGTCTTCAGAATTTCCATTCCGTTCAGGTGGACCTGCAAGAGAATCTGTTGCGTAAGTTTCTGTTCTGCACAAGTTTAAACAGACAACATGAAGAAAAAATTATTTGAACACATTGATTGATGATGATAGTCTTTAGTGAGAGATCTCAGCCAATCTTTGTGACTCCTTAGTTATCTGTTCTTTTCAGAAACATACAGTAGAACATTTTCTCTAGATTGTTTGTAAGTTTTCTCAAATCTATAATCAGAAATAATGAAGACTCATGAACTTTTCCCCTTCCGCACTAGAATTTGAATACTTTTTGAGTTGAATAAAAAATTCTTAGCACTCAATTCGAATTTGGCTCCTCTGTCATTTGTAACTGCTGTATGTACCTATTGCTAATCAATGCTGGATTCAATTGTCAAGTTTGTCTCATTCCTTCACAGATGAATTATTATTCCCTTCTACATTCCTCCAAGACAAGATGTTTAATGAAATTTTAATGTTCACAAACAATGAAGTTTCTCTTGATTCAATGCTCTGATTTAAATTTTTGGTTTCAGATTCGAACGGAGATTCAATCGCGAGTTTGAGCGAGACAAAGACCGCAATTCTCGTATGCGGGACAATGATCGTATCACTCTTGATCGCAACAACCGTTACAACAAATCTGGAATGAACAACAATAACAACAATAATGATAAACGGTACAACAGGTGGAATGAGCCCGAGGAGCCTGAATGGTTTTCAGGAGGCCCCACATCTCAGCATGATACGATTGAACTGCATGGATTTGAAAAACTGGATGATAGTGATGGAGATGATCGGAGACAAAGACCAGGTTAGTCTCACAACAAGTCACTTGGAGGGGCTGAATAGCTGCTCAATCTTTGATCCAAGAGATACGTATTTTTCTCTAGCGGTGGGAATTTTTGCAGGGGCTTTTTTTTTTCTTTTAAGAGAAGTTATCAAATTTTTGGGTATGCTTATGTTTTTGTAAACATAAAATACAATGATAAAGAAGGCAAACTATAAACAGGCATGCTTATCGGACCCTTGCCCCAGAGGTTGAAATCTCTGGAATGTGTTGCTACCAGAGAAACTTTTCCAATTAGAAGTTTACTATTGATTTTTAGTCTTTCGTGTGTGTAATGAAGACAATAATCACAATATTTTAAAGTCTAATCAAGACTTGGCATCACTGCTAGAAAACCTTTACAGCTTTAATAATCATTAGAGTGATTTGAATGCTGAAACTCGGTGAAAAGTTACCATATTAGTTAAGACAAGTAAGTAGTAATTTTGTGAAATACTTTAAAAACCAAGTTCTAATGATGACTGATTAAAGGGACCCATCTTTTTCAATTAAAGAGAAGGCTGAAAAGCAAGAAAAGTATTCACACAATCGGCGCTCACACTTTTTGTACTGAAGCAAACAAGTTATAGTTTCCCTCACCCAAGAACATAACGTAATTACAATTCTGCCAAATTTCCATTTGCAAATTGCATTTTTTCCAGAAAAATCTTGGGCACATCAAACAGAAAATTTTTTCGATTTTTTCCCTGATCTCGTGCTAAAATCAGAAAATTTTTGGACAAAAATTACAAACGTAGGTATTTTCATTTAAAAAAAAGTTAGTGTCAATTTTAGGGATGGAGTTACGCTTCTCCATTTGGGAGACAACAAAATCCTCTACTCAAAAAGAAAGGATGAAAGAAGACTTTGTTTGTTATTTTCTTTCTTAACTTTCAGAAATAGCACTCGAGTTCACTGAATCATGATTGATTCGATCAATGAAGATAAAAACACTTACTGTACCATGTTTTTCACTGTATAAATATCTTTTTATTGCAATAGGTTCTCGCAGCAAGAAAATGAGTGAGCCGTCATCTGAGGGAGGTAACTCCAACGATGACAAAAGATCAGATGGTAGGAAGTCTATATCGCCTATTGATCAGGAACAGAAAAAAGACAGGGAGTCTCAAGAATCAAGTGAAGCAGAACGGAAGGATGAAGGTGGTGAGAAGAAAGAGAAGGACGATCCAGAGAAAAAAGACACGGACAACAATGGAGGGAAAAGCAGTGGTGATTCTTCCGGTTTCATCAGTGATTTTGCTGGAACAGACTTCAATTTTGATGATTTTCTCAAAAGCGATTCCTTACCTCTTTTATCGGTAAGTACATGGTTTCATTCTTTTTAACCCGAGGGCCTGAGGCGGTTTTGATAAACACTTTCTATGATGAGCCTGGCAGTGAACAAGTTCAAAATTCTACTTTATCGTTTTATTTACCTTAAATATGACAGCAAGGCATGATTTGTGCTGTTTTGAAAATTTCCTTGAATATGTTTTAATGTACCACTAGACAAGGTGTGAATTTAAGCATTATGATATTTCCTCATCAAAATCTCAAGTAGCACACAATTTGCACAGCAAAAAGTACTGAAAGCAACTCTTAACGAAGTTACCACAGTTAACCTATACATGTAGTCAAACTTCTCGCTCATAGAAAAAACAATGATCTACTTGAGTCAAATTGCACACTAAAAGTTACTGTCATAGTCTCTGCGGTATGAACTCATGACAACCTCAATCTTGGAGCTTCAGCTTTGCTGTTGCACGGTGTTTAAACTTTGGAAAATACAGAATAGGGAAGGAACACTATGTATCGAGGAGCTTGCTAGAACCATTGTAGTAAATGATTTGATTCAAATAGACCCTTGTTTTTCATGTGAGTGGGAAATACTAATTTTTTGTGGTGATTTTTCATCATTGATTTTCCATCTTGGTTTGAATTAATGGTTGAATCTTGGTTGGTTAAGTTAAAATTTTGTCTATATGAAAATTAAAAACTCATGGTCTCTTTCTGTTTTTTACTCAGAATGGAACTGACAGGGGAGACGGTGGCGTGATGGAGTCACGATTTGCTTCGTGGTTCAAACGAGATGTTCCTCAAGGCTCTGGCTGTGATAGTAATCGATCCTCTGCTCATGATGAAATGTTCAATAGTATGATCAATGGTAAGCCTCGCAAGAACTTTGTCCTTGGTCCTCGTCATTCAATCTCTGATCAAAGCAAGTTTCCACCATCAACCATTCTAGTATCTCAAGCACTGCCTATTTCGAATGTGATCAAATCAATGCTAATAGAAGAATCAAGTCTAAAATGAAAGAAAGAAGATTTTAGTAAGAAAAAACAGAAGTAGCCTTGCATAGTTTCCCACTTCTAATTCTAAAATTTACAGTTAGATTGTATTACTTACAAATTACTAACTAATTACTGATCACCTAAGAACTACTCGCAGGGTTCAAAATAGTCACATTATCAGCTATAAATTATGAAATCAACATATGTGATAATGATCCATGTAAAAGTTATTCTCATACATAATTTAGTTTCCTCATTTTTCTCTATCATTTATTTTGCGACTTCTGCCTTTTATTTCAGATATAACTGAAAGTAATGCTCCAAATCGTCGTAATTCATTCTCTCCAGAACCAAGTGGAACATCAGCTGCCCTCATGGACATGCTTCGTACCAGAGAAGGCTCTGGTGATGCAACCGAAAAGTATCCATCTTTGAGAGATTTAGGTAAGTTTAAAATTTTTTTAAAAGTTCAAAGATTTGAACATGCGCATGGTTTTTTTGTGCTAAAAACTGTAGAACTGTTTGCTACCCAACTCCACCTGAGCTTAAATGACTCATTCTGAAACCAGGATTTGTTTATGTCCCAGCACAGATTTAAAAGAACAATTTCAGTGTAAAACATTGGTTCAAAGAGGGTTTTATTGATGGAAATCTACTGAAACATCTGACCGTAGAATGTGCCTCTATTGCCAAAGTTTGGCGATTAAAGCATATTACCAAGAAACCGTAAAATTGACCACCATTTCCCATGTGCTGAGAGGATAGGATCACAAAGTTGGCGGAACTATTTGATCTAAATGAGGATAATGCGTCTCTTTCATTCTATGTAATTTCCTTTTTGGAATAGAATCATGAGTTATTCTTATTCATTATCATCTTTCCAGAAGTAACTGGAAAATTACACAGTGTTGGAGAATTGGAATCTCGCTTCCGGCAGCAGCAAGTTGGACCCAAAGATTCCCTCTCAGGTCGTGGCCAGACTTTGTCATCAAAGAAAGAAGAAGAATTGGCAGCATTTAAAAAATTGGTGAGTTATGTCTTGTTACCTCCAGCTAGTATTTATCAGCTAGTCTCAGTTTTGAATTCTACGAAAATAATTTCTGGAAGAGGGAAACTATAAGAATTTCCACCCATCGGGTGGAGCTTTGATTTTTCTTGGGAATAAGTTAGACTATCAGATTTTTTAAACAGTGTATCCTCTATTTTGTTTTGGTTTTGTTTTATTTTTGTTCTCAATTGAATTCCATAATTATTTTCACATACTAGTCTTGGCCTAGAAGGCTTTAAATTTTTGCGGTCCTGCCCGAGGTTAGATTCTCTGCCACGGCTCATTAGGTATCATCTCCAGCCTGCCCTATCAGTCTTTTCTGGTGCAATTTTAATTGTGTATTCTTGGGGGTTTTTAGAAAAACAGAAAATTGCTGAGCCAGTTTTAGCATACCTTTAATTATTGGTAGACTTCAAATTATGTGCCGTTTCGGAGGCCATTATTTATCTCTGGGCTGACTCTGCAGCTTATACTCTGGAAAAACTTGTTAGTTTTTGAGCATTAGTAGCATCTATAGTACGATAATAGAAACTTGTTCATTTATACAACTTATCCTCCTAACTGAAAAATGTCAGTAAAATTATCACGTTAAAAGTTCTACAATTTTTATTGTATCCTCTAAATCTTTTTAAATGAGGCAAGTCAGAATCCAATCTGTTACACAAGTTAGAAAGAGAAACAGGGAGAGAAAATAAGTACCAGACAATCTAAGCTAGTTCACATCAGACTTCCTCACCCAAATTTCACCCCTCCCTTATGTTACAGATTTCTCAAGCTACCTTTAAGAAACTTTTAGTGAAAAACAAACCTTTATGAATAGAAACTCTCCCTCCTCTTTCCCTCTCCTTTCTCTCCGGTTGTATCTTTGAACGTTGAATTTTACCAGTCACTGAAGAGTCACCTTTAAGCGTAAAATCTTAAGACGTGTCATGTAACTTTAAATTAGCTTTATTTACTTCATTAACCTCATAAAATTATGTTAAAGTGTTTCTCCCAATAGTTTATATAGTATCAATAGTGCCTTTTTTGCCTTTTCTTAGAGGAAGCAATGAATATTTGGAAAAGTAAAAGTTAAATGATTTGTGTGTAGTTAAATCCTAAGCCCAGAAAATAAAAACGCAATTCCTGATCTGACTGGTTTTATGAAGATTTTATGCGCTAAGATTTGAGTAATGGTAATGCGTATCGACTATTTTCATTCCTGTACATTTCTGTGTGAGCGTCACTTAGAACATTAGAATCTGTTAGGTAGTATTTAGTAAAAACCTCTCCGCTCAGGTAGATATTATAAAACATTGTGAAAACTTGTCCAAAAATACTTACATAAAATGGATCATCAGTCGGAGTAAGAATTAATGAACCCCTGGTAACTTGCTCTCTTCCTCCGCAGACAGTTGAGAGATGCTGCATGTCCTATCCTGAAATCCCTAAATTTTCCTTGGAGGCTGGCAAGTAGAGACAAAATTTGAAAAAAAATGAAGATTGAGAGGAACCAAAATTTCTCTGAGTGATAAATTTCAGGAAATCGTCAACAAAGGCTTGTCCAAAAATCTAACACAGCACCATTTCTGTATCTTCACAAGTCAATGCTCGTTTAAATAGTGAAAGATTCCATTTTTTTAAAGCCCTGATTTCCTTCAGAAACCAAGTTAGATTCAATTTTAAAACGTTTTGTTCTGAAGAGGTCTTTAAGAACATGGTTTCAAAAATATATCCAAATGTAGCCAGTTTGGTGTATCCCTCTTCAATCGATCGTTGAAATTCTATTCTACGATAGTTAAAAATCATTTAAAAGGATCACTTTATTTAGAAGGTCTTCCAGAGCACCTTTCAAAAGCAACTGACTTACTTCTTGGGGCAGTTCTTCTTTACGTGTCACGTTCATTTTACAGACTTTTGACCTCGTGAAAGGTACGCCTACAATGGTGTCAAGCCCATGCTAGTTTCTTTAAAGCTGAACCTATTATTAGGGGTGGGCAAAGCAGGTCTTTGGAAAGCAAAGCTGTGTTAAGTTATAAAAAAAAAATTGAACATGTTTTAAAAACGTAAGAAACAGAAATGACGCAGCCTGAAATCATACAAACATGATGGTTCCATCTAGATTGACTTTGAATTGCTGAAAGAATTTAAAGTGATGTCGTGATCGGTTGTACTGTTGAACGGTCACTAGTTTACAAATGCTGCGAAAGTTCGAAGTCCCAGTTTGAATTAATATTGCTACTTGGCAGTGCATTTTTACTTTTCCAATCTGCAAGTAGAGAACATATTAAGCGAGGGCTTACTTTATGCTTTGCGCACTTCTATTGATTCTCGATGTCAAACTTTTCAAAGTTTTAAGACAGAAATGGCGTCAAATTGACTTTAACTGGACTATTTTACTTTCTTTTATTTTATGAGCTCATCACGTTCCCCTTATTTTTTCTTATTATTTTTCGTTTTGTTTTGTTCTTCTTTTTGTTTTTGTTTTTTTTCTTTGGAGTTTTTTGGTGAAATACCAAAGAATCCCGTAATTTTCTTTTATTTTATATCTTTCTTATTTTAATTTTATTCTTCTCTTTTTCTTTTTCTTTTTTATAATTTTTACCACAATTTTACAATAGTTAATCCAAGCAAGCACCGAATTACCTAAAAGCGCGGCGGAAAGTGCAGAAGATAATATTATTTTAAATCAGGTATGTTGTGCACCTAAAATTTAGACTTGGGTGCTTTTCCCTTTTTTATTTTGTCTCTTTAATTTTCCGATGACTTTTTTTTACATGACTTTTTCAAATGTTTTGTATCAAGTCTTTTTTCAATATGCACTTAACAGGCAAAGGTCTATTTTATTTTAGACAGTGGCTGGTGCTGCCTGATGACTGTGGATGTAATTAGGGTAAAAAAAATGTTTGCCCAGAAGTGAAATCCTTGTTTTAAGACAGTCACATGATGTTTAAGTTCCAGGAACATTTTAAATATTTATAAAAAGGGGTGGGTGAGGGCAAAAATTTACAGAGGTAAATAGAAATTATTCTGTAGGATATGTAATAAATGAAATCCTCTGTCCTTATAATCATGCGTTTTACTTTTTCCAACTGCGCTCTTGCTTTTTGTTGCCTAATGATTGAGGCTCATTGTTAGTGCAAAATGTGTGAAGGAGTCTCCCTCTTGCCTGTCCACCCACCCATCCATAATGGCATGTCATTCAACCTGTAAATTACTTATGTAATGCTTCCTATAATTCTAAGTATATTTTAAAATTATTATAATCAGTCTACATAAAGTCATGAGATAAGTTAGGAGGGAATAAACGGCAACATCGATACTGCATTCAGCATGGATTTGGAAAGACCAATTTGTTCCAAGTTGTCTTTTCACTGTGTGCCAAGAGGCCGAAAAGAGTCTATATTTCAAATGTAACATGTTTAAAAGCCATTAGAGCGGCTCGTATCACCAAAATTTGATTTATTTACAGTGCTATTCTTCCCTACAATAGGTTATTAGACATCCAAGAAATTATTCTGATGGAAAAATTGTCACCTATACAATTATTAAAATCTGTAATAAATCGTATTTTGATTTTATTTTGTATTTTCTATGAAGAAATTCAATTAACGGCCGGAGTTATGAATATCTCTTGTTCTTTGTACATTTTTTTTATCAATCTTTAACTTAGTTCTCTATTTTTCAGATGATGAGTAAAGCGCACGCTGTGCCCCAATGCACCAGCACTGGACCGGAAATGCCAGGTATGTGCCCTTTTTTCCTCTAGCCATTGGTTTATTGTTTGAGACAACCTGTTTTCTTTCATTCGTGTCTATTTTTTAGGAATAATCTGAATGGCTTTCTTGAAAAACAGATAAGAAACTTTTTTCTAAATGTTGTATTGAACTTAGCCTTCAATAAAATAAATATCCTAAATGTTTGCTAAAACTAAATATCTTGCAGCTCCTCCATTAACAACACTGAAACTCAAATTTAACTTATAGCTCCAAGCTTTTGTCGGCAGGCTTTGCTCTTTTTTGAACGGGGTAGTATGAAACTTTTAGTTTCAAAACCTGTACAATATACCTTAGATGAGTCACCCTGATTTAAGCGCCACTCTTGGCAGAGCTAAAAAAGTTTTAGAACGACAAGGCAAAACCCTTTTGCCACAGAAAATATTAAATTACTTTTACTTCAATTTTCATAATGAGGGCTCATTTGAACATTTTTGTTAAATAGGTATGATGGGAGGATTCTACCAGCCTGGTATGCCTCTGCAACCAAACCAAATGAATCAACCCAATGTTCCAAATGAACTTGTCATGAAGTTACTCCAAGTTCAACAGGTAAGACATATTTACTGCTCATCATTTTTCTTTTTCCTTTCCCCTTCTTCCATCACTTTTGCTGAAGATTCCTAGCAAAGTTATGTTCAATGTATGTACCTAATCCAACCGATATTAATACTCTGTGCTGAAGTCAAAGACATTTAATCATGCAGACTTTGCATTTGCTCGATTTTGTACAGGCGAAGTAAGACAAGTTTCTGGGAACTCCATGATGGGCGAGCGGGGAGAGGGAGAGAGCGTGTCCCAAGCACTCAAAGAGACTGCAAGGAAGCAATGGAGACTTCATTCGCGCACTTGGTTTTTCACGAATAACTCATTTTGAGTACATTTTAGGACAAAATTCCAAGGACTGAAGTTGTAGAGCGCATAGTATTACTACCGAATTGCAAAGTTTCACTTTTCTGAACTAATTACCAACCGCACAAAAAGTCTCACAATCTGACAAAAATTCAATGGGGTCGCTTCTGCGCATGCACAGTGGGACCTACGAGCTCACTGATGTAAGGTCAATGCTCTGCACTTATTGGTCAGTGCACCATGCGATTTTTCAAAATTTGCAGTACTTTCTGTAACATACGACGCACGGTCCACTTAATTCGATGTCATTGGCAGAAGTTAACGTTTTAACATGACTTGCATGAAACAGCTACGCTACCTCTGTGAAAATTTTGTCCAACTTTGTATGGAAACATTCACATCTTTCAAAAGAAGTGAAAAAATAGTTTAGTGTGAGTAGTTTTTAGTTTCTTATAAAAAGATTTGAAAACATGTAGTGTAGACCTATGTTCTTACATTACTATTTTCTTTGCTTCTTTCCTGACGATTTTTCTTTACAATTTTCATTAGGATTACTCTCTTCTTATTTTTTATTTTATTTTGTTTCAGCAACAAGTACAACAGCAAGATACATTATCAAAAATTTTAACCGCTCACCCTGGAATGCAAGTACTTCCTCCTCCAATCCAGCAGTTAGTCAATCAATTCCAACCCACGCCTGAACTCTTAGCTAGACCAGAAACTCAAAACATCCTCACTAGTAAGTTACTGTTAACCTCCTGATTTTGAACTATACTACTGGTAATATGCCAGTAGACAAAGTTAGTTAATTTCCGAACTTTTTGATGAATAAATTGTTTTCTTTGTAAGATTTTGAAGAGGAAACGCAACTTGTACAGTGACACTTGTCATGGTATCTACTTTACAAAAAAGTAGGGTTGCACTGAAAAAGCATTGGTTGTGAAAGGTCAGTGAAGAAATTATGAGGAATTTTTGTCAAAAGGTATGAAAATATAATTTGCAATTCAAAATAATAGTCTTGGAGGTATGCAAGTTTTGTACGCTATTCATGTATCACATCCCTATATCCTTCCATCTCCCTCAGTTACCTCTTGCACTGACTCAGGAGAGAGAAATTTCCACTCCTTGTCCTATCAAATCCAAAACTGTTTTATCATAAGTTAACACCACTTTGTCCCGCAGGTCTGAAGAGAGGTGAACTCAGCTTGCACCAGCTAGCAGAGCAATTGCGGAAGACCGCAACCTTCCAGTCCAGGCATAGAGATATATTAGCAACTGTAATTAAATTATATCAATCACAAACAGGTTAGTTATTATTGTTTTTCAATTAGTTTTTAAGAAATTCATCGAGGTGCCCAAATGACATGAGGCTATTGGTGTAATTTTCATATAATTAATTTTCCCTCAGTTGTGGACAAATAGGAGACTCCATAAATGTTAAGGCAAGCAGAAAATTGTCAACATGAACCTTCTTCATTGTTCTGTGATATTTGGAATCGAACACCCTCTTCTTCTACGATACTTGCCCTCACAAATATGGTTATCAGTATATCTGTTCAAAATAAGAAAGGAGAAGCCTGACATTGGGGTTAAATTGCAGGCTTCCGAGACAGAGAAAAGCACTTTTGATTGCAAACAACGTATTTCTCAGTAAAGAGCAGACACATATCATGGGTAATATTCGTGTTTAAGTCTCTGTTTTTTAACTGAATAGCACCCACCAAGTGCTGACCCTAAATGAATGAATTTTGGAATCTAATGGATTATTCTGGTTCTCAGGGGGCATACCACCTCGCACAAACTCACCTTTGCCCGCTGTTGTGAATGAGCAAATGTTGCATCAGTTGCTATTGTCTCAGCAACAAAGCCAGCACCAGGCGCAACAGTTACGCATTCCTTCTCCTCATGCCAATGGTGAGTATTATTTCATTTGACACATTTGATTTAGATTTATGGTTTTTGCTGGTTTTAACATGGTGGGGGTCCAACATGCTTGTCATAAAATCATGGCTCAGGGTTTAAATCGCAGAGCAACAAAAAAAGGCCAGATCCATCCTTTTGCCGAATGTTTTTGTCTAAAACTATATGGTTTGTGTGGCCATGAAAAAAAAAAACTTGATTTTGAATAATGTTTCAAGGCCTTGCAAGTCAATATTGTCTCTTGTATAAAAAAAAAGAGTCCCATGTCAATGTTAATGCCCCCAATCATTTATAGTTGATCTACAAGAATCATGCATCAAAACACGATTCTGGGACTAGGGCAACTGACCCATTTTGAGAAAAAAATTGTTAAGAACTCAAATCTAGCATGATCGAGACACAAAATTCATGGATCACAATGCACCTTGTAAACCATCCATCGGCCCCAAAACGAGCTAAATTGCTTGCTACCTATTCTGTAGGACACTAAAGAAAGTTTTCCTTCAAAATCTCAAAAGTCACAGCTGTCCGAACTCTACAAATCGCTCTCCTGATAATTTTACCTTTTTGAACAAAGATCTCTTTTCCTGTAGCCAGTCAAATTTATACCTTCCCCGGGTATTGAGTATTTTTCGCTGCAGTACAGTTTATTTGATCTATAAATTGGTCCCTCTCAATATCCTGCATCTTAGAATACTCACAGTCATCGGCTAACATTATACATAAGTCACTATTAAAATAATTATCCAAATTAAGGAAAAAGTAAAATCCTTCTTGTTGGATTTTTAGCTTACTGCCCTACTCCTTCACTTTCTCCTAACTTGGTGGCGGCCGCTCCTAACACGCTAACTGTGCAGCATCCAGGTACTTCAAGAATTTTCTCTGCTTATCTCTTTCATTTTCTCCTATTTTTAATATTTTCATTCATTCCATCATATCCTTCTGCTTCCACCAACCCTAATTTTCCATTCATCTTTAAATCGGTGTTCTACGCCATGGTGTATTCTTCTGGTCCAGCATTGGTCTACCCAAGTTGTAAATATGCCAGTGCAACCAGCTCTGTTTACACATATTGCTTAGTAAATTAAGAAAATTGTACTCTCATGTGGGAGTACATACGTCTAATATTTTGCATTGACAATTGTGTAAAATTAAAGCCAAGGGGGTTTGTGCATTCAAAACTTTACAAGTAGTTTTTCATCATCATCCCTAGACTTCTAACTCCACCCCTTTCCCCAATTTGAGCTTGCCTTGTTGTTTTATTTCAACCAACTGGACTACTATTTCTGTCACATTTTAGGAACAACGTATGTGCCAGCAGTTTTCTCATACAATTACATGCTTTCATAGACAAGCCAGAAATAAATAGTGTTTCCTTATTGCAAAATGCAATCCGACCAAGGGATTAACCTCCCAGAAGTCTGCCAATCTTTTTAAAAGCTTTACAGGTCTTCTGTGAGCCTATAAAGCTCCTACAATTTTGAAGTGAATTTATATTTCTGTATAAGAACCAGAATGAGCCCAACTGTATTGGATGTTGTCTTATTTCCTCTTGTGTTTTATTTTTGTGACAGGAAACTACACAACTTCTTGCCCCAAAAATTTTTGAGTATACATATTTTGTTTGATGTTTGAGAAATTCACAGAAAGTTTTAAGGCATCGAGTCTCGTTTTGTTGAAAAAAGCAACACATGAGACAAATTTAAGCAATCAGAAATGCAGTCCGGTTGATTCTCGTGCAAGCCATTCGTGTGCCCTCACTATTTGTCCCCTTCTTCCTTTCTCTGCCTCAATGGTTTTCTCTTAGTTTTTCCCACCCTTTCAGTGTGATTGATTTTTTTTTTCCCTGTTTGAAGGAATTTTCTAAAAAAGAGCATTAGTTTTAGTTTTTGCTGTTCATTTTTTAACGTTGTCTCACCTTTGCCATTCTTTCCTGAAAATATTTTTTGCCTTTTATGATACTGAAAGAAACTTCGTCTAAGCTAGTATGCCAGTGATTTTCTAATACAGCAACATTTTGAGTTGCATTGCATCATCGATGTTATAGTTGCCAAAACTTGAGGTGGGGTTTGAAATGTAGAATGTTACTGATTTGAAGGGAGTATCTTTATCAAATTTTGTCAAATCTCGTTCAGACTGCTCAGGTGTCAGATTTCATGTGAAATGTCAAAGTCGCACTTTAATCAAATCATTCCATTTTAGATTTTGGCAACTTAGGAACATATCCAACAGATGACAAGGAACCAAACTCATTTCAACAAAAAAACAGTAAGATTTAAAGGATGCTTTGAAAGTTGCCTCAGATTTTTACTTCGAAGCCATTGATGTCAGGAAAAACCAGTCATACTGTCCTTGCCATTCAACATTCTTCTCTTTTTTCTTAGGTATTCAAAGAGTTCCTTCCCCTCGAGAACTTGTTGCTCATACTCAAAACATTTTGCAGTCAGCTCTCATAAAGAAGAAGTTAGAAGAGCAGAAAGAAAATTTCCGCAAACGGCAAGAATTACAAAGGTAAGTCCATCGGTCCCTCTCATTTAGGAATCGTTTTTTCCGCTAAAATTAGGGCACATGAGTGGTAGGAAAG